GACAGACACGTTCCACAGCTGTTGCTTGACCATCAACCCAAATGTCCGCAACAAAGACAAGATCGCACAAAAGGACATGGAATATTAGGATACTTCACTAATGCAAAATATTAGAAGATATGAAACAGGAAGTAAAAATGCTCAATATTAATATTCTCGGGGTATTTACAACAAGGTGAAAAGACAACGGTGGATTTTATATGCAACTATCACAAAATTATAAACAAAAGAGTAGCGAAAAATGAGAGTGGAGTCGGACTAATATTAGATAAATACGAGTAGTTCCTTTTGGAGTACTGAGGATTGTTAGAGTTTGGGCGAAATAAAGGAAATCTATTGACTATGTCATTCATCATGGTACGGGCACGTCAGAAAGCACCAAAGACGAATGAGGCAAGTTTTAAAAACACTGTAAAAATGGTAAATCTCACAAGAAAATTATAATTAATGTGGAGAACAAGATATTGAAGGGATATGTATGGACTTGGATAATGTAACGGGCGTACAGAAAAATAGGTTCATTGGTCCATACCAACTGGCCAAGTAATAACCAAAAGTTCGTTTAAAAGACACCCAAAAATCTGAAGGACTTGTAAAATCTTGGGGGAGGGGGGCGATGAGAGTCTACAAAATATTTAAAAACGGCCTTTTTAAACGTACCTAAACTGATCGGAGAAGTAATTGAAACGAAGCATAAAAGCTACAGATATTAAAGCCCCAAACGATGTCGAAGCTACATTGCAAAAAACACACCAAGTGAAACTTTGGAACAAGTCAGTGAAACACTAATAATTTGCGATAGAAAACTTATTTATAGGGGACGATGTTGGCGATGATACCTTGTCCCCGGATCCATTTCCCCGAACAATTCCGTGCCACATGACCCCGCTTATTACAGCGATAGAACCTCAACTGTCTCTGGTACTTTGTTCATGGTCCACTTCCATCTTGTACTTCAGGCTCTCTCTTTGTGGTCAAAGGTAGCACAAAAGTTAGGTTCTTCAATGGATATTGATGTACAATATCTTTTGAAGAATTTCTGCAGAGGAACACCCAATGAAATGTAGTATCCAGTGGAATTTTTAAATCATTTCTTTCAAATTATTTCTATAAAATAAAACCCTTTTTTATTAGATGTTTCCTATTCTTCTGTACAATATTTTTGTGAATGAAAAAGTGATATTTTAATATCTTTGGAGATATTAGCTTTTAGGTTTGATAAGTATCAGTCCTCCTATATGGTAGTCAATACAGGACAATCTCCTCAAAAGATGAAGAGATTTGAAGCAACAGAAGGAGACTGAGGATACCATGGAGCCACGAAGAAGCTTTAGAGAAAACGACAATGTGAGAAATGGCTAAGTTTTGAAGAGAATGGAAACAAAAGGACACTCATATTTAGCATTAGAAAGAGACATTTGAAATTTCTAGGCCATATAATGAGGAAAGAGAGCTTGGAAAATCCGATACTCATAGGGACAGAGGGAAAAACGTGAGTTTGACTAAATGGACAAGAGAAATAGCAAAAACAAAATTTATTAAAAGCTACGAAGGAAAGGAAGTTGTGGAGAGCCATGATCGCTTACGTCCTGAAGGGACACGACAGAGAATAAGAAGTGATCAAATGTTTGTCATACCACATCATCCAACAAATAGCCACATTTTGAGCAACTGTATCTTGAGTGAAAAGATATATTCTTTAACAATATTAACTTTCAATTGAAGTAGTGATTTTTTTCAGTACGAAATTTCATAACATTTTCTACAGCAATAAAATATGTACTGCCTGACCCCTGTTATAATTTAGCAAATTCATTTTCAAGTTGGTAAATTCTACAAGCATAATGAAATTCAACCACTGTTAAATAAATGTATAGAAATATAAATGAAATCATTGCATGTAAAAAAGCGATCTAAAGAAAAACAGGCAAATGTGAGAAACAAAAAGAATAAATAATGCCTGGAAAATAGGATTTTGTTAAAATCTGTGCCGTTATCTCAATCAAAGATCAGAGAAAATATGAGGTGAACTTTGATAAAAATTCTTTACAATGTACGCGATCTGCTGAAATCATGCTCTCGTCAACATAAATATCATGAATATATGATGAGGTTGCCCATCGAACTGACTCGTCTTTCGACAACGCGGCGTCCACAATGGCCTTCATTATGGCTAGTGCAACATTCAACCCGAAACCCATTCGGGTCAAGCAATATCTTCGCCCCTTGAAGATTACAGTTTGAAAGGGCCAAAGTGACTTATGGATATGAACTTGTAGATAGACCTTCCTGAATACACGCACTCGAATCGGAATCCTACGTGCTCTTAGTTCAATTCAGCGCTACTAACGTCTCCACCTAAACCCCGAAATTTTTACTTTTTTCTCAATGGGAGTAGATAGGTTTGCCTATCATCTGGTTCACATTATTCCCCGGTCTTTTGGACAGGAGTAATGGTTTATTCTTGGTTTCCTGCTTAGGACTGTATTTCTCGTTCCTTCTAAACTTTTCTTTTGACTCACAGTAAGTCTTTGTGTTTTTAGTGACGTTATCTCCTTGCTTGGGGTGAAATGATTAAAAATATTTCAATGTCTTCTATAATATACTTAAGACAATCTAATATAAGTACAAAAATAAAATGTTGAAGAAAATGTTTAAACTCAGAGTCAAGTAACTACCGTTTCCAGTCAGAGACAAGTGACGTAGTTGCAGGATTTTTTACTTTGGTATCGACGATAAAGAATTCGTGTAATTTAGAAGGACAAAAGAAAAAAAAACAACTTACCCGCGATATTTGCACAAGCTGAGCCAACACCTTGAAGAGATCTGGCAATGAGTAATGGAATGTACGTCTCTCCTATGATGAAAACTAAAAAAAAATAGAAATAAAAAATGCAATCTCATAAGATGTCTGTTGAACATTTATTGGTTGAATATTTCAATAATATAATTTTCACTATCTTCCTTAACCTTGTTTCATTCTTGAATTTTACTTTGGGATATTTACTGTGTTTTGCTTAGGCAGGGTTTCTAGATATCAATTATTGAATGATTGAACGTAGCGAAATGATAACAACTTTTACTTAACTGACAGATTTTTTTTCAAATACGTTTTTATACATACAATATTCTACCTTGATCGTTGCCCCGGGTTAAATAATCTGTCTGTCGATAATGTTATTTTTTTTTCAAGACACCCCCACCACCACCACCATATGCAAACAAAGAAAATTACTCTGGATCTATAACAAATCTTGAAAATGTTCACAGAACTATGTTTAATGATAGTTAATGTGCGTTTAAAATATTTTAACACTTTTCTCAGAGCCTTTGTAGATATGAATTGATTCGCATTAAAAACAGAAATTTTTTTTTTAAACATGCAATGAAGATTTTCAAAATTTTATTGCAAGAAAAACTTGACAATAGTTTATATATCCTTGGCGGAAATCTAATTTAAACTTATTTTAAAATATCCCTCATGAGTCGCATAATTTTTTTTCTTTTTTAAAGTAGCCCAATTCACAACTTGATGGCCTGCCTTGAAAATCAGCATTTGAAAGCCAAACTCTATTCGAATGATATTTATTGTACGAATATGTACAAATGTGATACAAGGCCCAAATGGGGGTGGGGTGGGGTGTGGTGTGGTGGGGAAGGCTGGTCTTCATCTCTCTTATACTTAAACCTAGCTAGCCACAATCACTGACTCAAACATACCACAATAACCGTTGCACCAAAACACATTCTTACTACAGCCATCGTAATACCTCAGAGACTATGAAGTCCTAACTAGTCCCCATATGTACAATTTGTTTTTTTTTGGGGGGCAATAAATTAACTTTAATAAAATTATAACCCAAAAGAATATTTACAATGAGAACAAGATTTATTTACCAGAAACAAAACAAAAATGGTATTAGTCATAACCCCCCTCCCCCACAAACCTTAAATATGGCAGAAGCATCAGTTACCTGGACGAAATTAGTGTGGGAGTTTAAAAAGTTCAAACAACCATTCGAACAAACACTCAAACACACACTCATCAAAACAACAACAAAAACGTAAAAAACACTCGAAAAACGAAAAACATACTGTATCTACCAGAGAGTTGACATCTCTGGTCACCTAACGTGATGGGGCTAAGGGGGGATTAAAGTAAATAAAATGAGAGTAAAAATAAAAGCTAAACATAGAAAATATTTACGCAGATTTTGATTTTCTTAATATTTGAAATTCTCATGAAATTCAATCCTATCCACAATTCAAACTTGTTTGATAGCAGATAAAATTCGTCTTCGAAAATATTTCATAAATTTGTAGCAAATGAATGGAAAGAGATTTTCAAACTGAATCTTTCCATGCAGACATCATTGGCGAAAGAGTGAAGTTTTTACTTAAATAAATGAACACAAGCGCAGTTACTTGACATCACTGGTTTTAGGTAGAAGGCAGCAGTGATTAACACTTTTGCACATGCATAAATATCAAATTGACTTGGCTATAAAGGAGAGAGACACACACTTGGACCTTTTTTTTAAAGGTTTAAAGGTTTTGAGGATGAAAATCAGTTTTTTATACAAAAATCATTGTTATATTTAAATAATTTCTGTTCCATTTTATTTATTCCAATTTCCATTCAAATGAATTAATTGCCGTGACTTTGAGAGAAGGGATGGGTTTAAATAACCCGCTAAATGCTGGAGGAATGTGTGTGCGCAGTTGCAGTTTAAGACCAACTTTTCAGACAACTCTGCCTTTTAGGTACTTAAATACGAGACGATTCAGAATCGTAAATTTCACAAGGAATTGAAATAACTTGATGGTGTCCAGTAATGCATGTAAAAATGCCAAATGCTTTGAGAGTTGGATAAGTGGAAAGAATTGGACAATGAATTTAAAGATATTATAAAGGAGTCATAAAAACCGTCTTCGGACTCAAAATATTTTACTTGACCTATCAGAAAAGGTTTTAGTTAGAATCATTAGAAAGACCGAAGTCAAAGTGAAATCGGCAACAACAATACGGTAAGGCTCGAGCGGAAACTGATAGAAAAATCTGGGGGTGTTCCAGAGAGATAGATAGATAGATAGATAGATAGATAGATAGATAGATAGATAGAGAGAGAGAGAGAGAGAGAGGAGGAGGGAAAGAGAGAGACTAGATATTTTTTTTTGCTTTGGTAATAAATTTGACCCCGATAGACAATATAAAAAAGAAAAAATGGCTGAAGAAACCAATTTTTGTTGGAATAGGGATGGAACTCCTACGAGTTACTATTCAGCCGAATATTCAGAAACTGTTAAAATGGACAATTATCGTAATGTCGATAAAACTTTCTGTTTGAATCTAGTCTAAAAATGTGCTTACTTTGTAGAGTACAGTGTGTGTTTGCGTGTTGAATTAGGGACACGTATATTTATTTCCTGCTAGAAAGGTCCAACTACAAGAAAATTGCCGGACTCAAGTTAAGTCCAACTGAAGATGTAAAGAAGACAAACAAACAAGACTGATATATATATATATATATATATATATATATATATATATATATATATATATATATATATATATGAACAAATATATGTATTAAACAACACAATTTTACAATGGACATAGACAATAACATTTATGTGTGTGTGAACATTTGTGTCTGTTCTTTGGTGAATGTTCATATTTTGGTGAATGTTCGTACGTACGTGTATGAGTGTTTAATGTTCACGGCATCTTCCACAAATGGGAAGACGCGGATCTTCTAAGAGAGCTTAGATTGTAGTCGCTGAAATGAAGAAATGAAAAAGAGAACGAGACGAGAAGTCACCCAGTATTTATAGTATAGGGAGAATGACCCCTAGTGACAATAAGGGAATTAAAGAGGAGCTAACTCCGACAACTTTTTTGTAAAATACAAATCAACAAGCAACCGAATCAAAAGTTTCTTAAAAGGCTAATTGTTCCCAGATTAGGCTAACAAGTAACAACTTGGGTTTAGTGTTGCTAAATTTGGATTTGCATTTCCTCTTAAGTTCAACCATCTTATTTTAGAAGTATACCCTAAAAGTCGCAAGTAGTGAAATTCAAAATTTAAATCGTGTTGGACTTTCAAAAATAGTAGAATCTCGTAATCCTGGTTGTGGAAATCGATCGTCCATTTTTTTTCATCTTTTAACAAGAATGTCTCTTTGTCACGATTTATTTTGTAACATACAGAATTGTGACACAACAGTGTCTCTTTGTCTCTTACAAGCGATAAAACATTAAATCACAATTTTTCAACAGAATAAATACTTACTGCTAGTAGAAATCAACAGAATTACAGATCCTATAAAAACAGGAACTGCGTATCCAATTCTGAAATACGAAAAGAAAAAGATTTTAAATGGAGTCGGGTGGGGAGCAAAAATTAAAAGAGAAATATTTTATCGTTACTTGGAAGCTCTACACAAACATTGCCATCGATTAAAAACGTGGAATGGATCAGGATCCTTCCCTATAAGCACAATGTGGAAGGTACAGACTAGGGTTCGATCCCATGCGACGAAACTTTGGTCAATTTTTACTTCAGGACCCAGAAAAGAGATCGTGTATTGATAACTGAATTCCAAATGTAGGTAATTTAAATTTAAGGAAAGCTTAGCTGGTCTGTGCGAGTCACGTGCCGGTTTAACATCGTAATTCTTCAATTCTTCTTCCTTGTTTTTAATCATTTCACCCCAAGCAAGGCAATAAAGCCCCCAAGAAGCAAGTGGGTGGGGGGATGTTAATGAATGTGAAAGAAACCGAGAAAAAGTTGAAATCTTGTACAGAAGTATAAAAAAAAGAAGAAATTAATAAAAAACTAGTGAAATGATAAATGTTTTGAGTTTAATACATAACTTTTATTTCTTATCAGTTTTCACTTGTTTGTCATTAAATATTTAAATATTTAAATTTCACCCAATGAAGTTTTTAATTTTTCTGATTTTAAGAAAAATTATTAAACTAATGAAAATGCTCCTAAAAATCGGGAAATTGATAAAGAATTATGTTATTAAGTGTTCATTGATTTCTTTTACCTTGATTTCTTTCAGATTAAATTGCCATAAAAATTATCGATACCTCCAAACATCATACAAACTTTTTAAAAACTACTACCGTTAGATTTAAAAAAAAATTAAAAAAAATTAAAAATAATCAGAGAATAATCATATCTCAATGAAATTTTTATATTTATTCATTAATGAATTTATATTTAAAAGGTTATTTTATTAGAAAACCTTGCAGAAATAGAATTTTCAGGTCAATTATAACCCCTTTAATTTATTGTGACATCCAAGTGGAGCTTGTTATACTCTGCTTCAAATTAACTCTTTCTGATTCACCCCATATCAAAACTTTCAGTCGGATTTGAACGCTACGAAAGCAAAATTAAAAACAAAACAGCCGCTCTCTGCGTAAGATTTCTGAGCTCCGCATTCAGTTCACAAAACTCATTTAGATTTGCTTTTCTTCTCATAAGTTAAACCAGATTATTTTAGAAGCTGAAAAAAAATCAAAATTTAATTTGTTTTGAACTTTCAAAAATAGTCGAATCTGGTAACCTTTGTGGAAATCGATCGTCTTTTTTTCTTTTGACAAGACTGTCTTATAGGTGATAAAACGTATTTGTTAAATGTCACGTGTCTCCCATGACTGCTTAAAGGACTCACTTGCGACATTCAAGATACTTTTCAGGCAATCAGAGTTCACCAATGTTCAACCGACCTGATATAAACTTAAATGCCAAACCCGTACACTACCGGATCCCCAGTCCTCCAGGTCGCTTTCCTCGCCAAAAAAGGACTTTCCGCCTTGATCCGGCAACACAGAAAATTTTATTTGAACATATCTTGTCTCCTTTTCTTTCCGCCTCATCAGCAGTACTTTGTTATTTTCCTTTGTTCTTTTGCAATCATACAAGTTATATAACATCCTAATTTTTATTTTTTATTCATAGAAAATTTTTTCTTAACACCTTAGTATGTATATTTTTCTTAAGATCTTAATATATCTTATTTGTAAAAGCAATTAAAAGCTTTTCTAATTAAATAATGTGCTAGTTTTATTGCATTTTTTATTTTACGATTCCGAGCAGATTTTCGTAAATGATGTTTCTGTTTTATAAATTTTTATACTGATGAATTAAATTCTCCAAGGTGTCCTGCTTTTAACTAATATAAATATGAAGAGGGTGAAATTTAATTTCTCTAAATTTCATAAAAATTAAATAAATGTGTGTCTGTGTGTGGTGTGTGTGTGTGTGTGTGGTGTGTGTGTGTGGGGGGGAACACATGTAACAAATATAATTTTTACTAAAATTTTGTAAAAAAATATCAAAAATAATTTAATTCATTTGGGAACAAATCCTGACAATTTCATTAAAATCCATCAATTATTTAATTTTTGCAAGAATTTCAAAATTAACGTATTTTTTTACCGCAAAAGGAACACTAAAATTTGCTATACTAATCTTTGCCTCCCCACGCTGACGTAAGAAAAACAAGATTTTTAACGAAAATTTCGAACGTGCTAGAAAGGATTAATAAAATTAATAAAATAATCCAAAAGTCCTTTGTTTTTTCATCTTACTAATAACAAAGGTTTTGAGGATGAAATTTTGTTTTTATCAAGTTTTTGACATTCTTTCATCGTAGTATGCTCTTTTTTGTCAGCGAATTAGTGGAGGTACCTAATTCTGGAGTACCATAACCAAAAACAACTCACAAAAAAAAAAAAAAAAGAAAAAAAAAGTAAAACAAAACATGGTGTGTTCGGGTTTATGTTAATGTGTACCATAAAAAAGAATAAATTCATTTGAAAGTGTACCTGCTTGTGAGCAATCCGACGACAACATTAGCCACAAGTTGAACAATGGCCTTTGAAGAAAGTAACCAACCGACCCTCGTATTCTCATTGATAGCGTGAAGTGGAAACGAGAAAATTTTTTGAACCATCCGAAATCCAGCGGCGTCGTCAGGCAAATGACTGACATTTCCGGTGGTGTTGCTACTATTCACCCGGCGATGTTGCAAAATTTGCAGCGCTGTCTTGTTGTCGAAGATAGTTTGGTTATGTCTCTGGAGTATCTCTTCCAGTTGTTCTTTATCTTTTTCCATAAGGAAATCTGGAATAATCGGCACTTAAAGAAAACGGAAAAAGAAATGCGTCACGCATCAGAAATAAACATTTTTCCACATTTTCATACAGTAACACTGGGACCTGAGGGGAATTAATCGGAAGAAAGAAAAAGGAAGAAGAAAGAGACCACTAACTGGATGATAATTGTTGAAATTTGAAGGAAACTGCATAGAAAGGTTGAGAAGAAAATTAAAAAAAACGAAATGCATTAAAAAGTTGATGTTCCGAAATAATAAAATGAAATCCCGAACAGTTCCAAGGAGAATCGAACCCCAACTTTAACTAGACTGAATTCAGTAAGATTGAGCAAAACCAAGATTACCTGTCCTTCATTTTTTTGCTGATAAGAAAGAGAGAATTAATGTACCATCGAAGATGCTGGTCCTGTAAAATAATAAAAAACATGTGTTGTCGATAAAGAAAACGGGTAGTCACCGATATAACATCTAAACTGTTCTGGACAAAGAGACAGGAAAAACATCTGGTTTGTATCGTCCACCTAGAAGAAAAATATCCCTACAAAAATAAAGATTAGCACAAAAGATTGGGGACGGGTCTGTTCATTTTAATTTCTGTGACATTCATCAAAATTTTTATGGCCGACATTATTTTGGATTCTTTTGAAGACGAGTTAATTACTAGCCCTGGAGTGACCGTAGGGGACCGGCTGTGTGGCCTGGGTGACCGAGAAACACATAAACAGTGCAAGATGTTTTTATTACCAAATTTCTTTTCTTTCCAACCCATGACGACTGAAAGTAAACAAAACTTGAGATTGGCTCCGAATATATTAGATATGGTCAAGTCCTTGGTTTTGGGAAATCACCTGAAACAACCAGTGTGAGACAATCTGATAAAGAAAGAATCCTGACCGAAAGAATCATATTTGAGTATAAATTTATATAAATGATTAAAAAAACAATATTCCAATTTCTGACATCCCATAATGGCATTCATATATTTGGAAATGATTATTCGTTGACTGCCTAAAGTGTCGGTAATGACGAAACATTAATAGTTGGACTGTGACTTTTAAATCGCTCTTAATTCATTTTATTATCTATTTGGCAGAAAGTCAACTTGTGTCCAAGTACGAGCACTTGTATGAATTTATTGTTGATTTCCTTGCAGCTGGTGACTCATCAATTTCATGAGTCAACTACACATTAAACCACAGAATTGGCGTCAGGGTGCTGTGACATGTAATGCCGAGTAATTCCACTCACTGACATGCGCACTTTGTTGCATAGAATGCAAGTGAAATCAGGCTAGATATTATAGTGATAAACCTAATTATAAAGGCTGGTGTTAAGGTTAAATGCTCCCGAAATTGATTTCAAGCACAATCTTGAATCAACATAAATGGTTAATTATCAGTGTGTGTGTGTGTGTGTGTGTGTGTGTGTGTGTGTATTTGACTTTGCAAAGTATCGTAAATGCATGCTCAAGAAAATGTCTGAAATTCTGATAAAGTATTTTTATTACTCCACGAATTATTTGCAATCGTATCCCATCGTTGTTATTTTGATTCCTACATTTCGTCTTACACACTTTGAGGCTTAATAAGTAATAATGAAGAATATATCAGCTGAAAAGTTACGGTAAAGCAAAGATGAGGATATTTTAATAATTTATGAAAAAAGCCCAAAATAAATGAGAGAGATAAAATTCCATCAGCGAAAAATTTTCATCAAAATTTCAAATAAAATTGTAAAACATGATCTGATTTTGTCACAAATTCAAAAGATATAGGAATATTTTCTTTTGATTGTGTAACAAAATAAATATTAAAGCGGAGTTCATACACGATATCAGAAGTGAAAAACTGAAGTTCATTCATTACTTGATGAATTTAGAGACAGAAAGTTTTCTATGTTGACTGTTTCACTTTTATCACATTTTAATAATTCATAGATAAAATAAACAATTTTTCGTCTACGGTAGAATTATAATCACCCATTTCAGATAGAATGCCATCGAGAATTCAAATAAGTAAAACATTTTCAGTGTGACTTGAAAAACTCTTCTTAGTTGACATCTAAACTTTTCATTATTTATTGTGATACAAAATAATTTTGTTAGCGATGAAAAGATTCTTTCTTCTCAAAAATACGAGGAAGAGAAGAAGAAGAAGAAGAAGAAGAAGAAGAAGAAGAAGAAGAAGAAGATGCCGTTTTCTTAAACAGACTAGTACTAACATATTCCCATTTTTGAATATACGGATCCAGTTGCGACAGATAAATGCACAAAGTATAAAAGAAAAAAATAATGTTCTGTATAAATTAATTGAGGAGGAGAATAAAAATCCCAACTCTATTTTTTATTTGTATTTTGTAGTGTCAAGGTGGCGCACAACATGGCAGATTTCACCAGACTGCTTATAATAGGCAATAAAGAAACATTGCATGTTATTGTTACGGTAGAAAAGATTAATTTTCTATTAGTTGCACTAAAACCTCAGTTTTCTTTCGAGAAAGAATGTTAAAACGAACGATTGACATTCCCATTTATAATAAATTACGTTTGACATTCCATAAATAAAATTAGAAATTGAGTTGGCCAATAAAAATCACTGGAGGACAATTATTCACTGTTTTCTAATTTCACAGAGAAACAGAAAGATTAAATTTATTTACAGAGATTTCATTCTGTTTTACTCTTTTGTTTGGAATTCAAAATTCCGTTTACAAACACATACGCACACACACACAGAGACACAGACACGCACACGCGTGTGCGCACACACACATTTGCTTTACAAGTCTTAAATGTAGAGAAAACTTAAATAAAAGCATAAGAAAGTTTTTGTTCTTACCAAGAGCCGTAAGAAGACAATTGTCTAAAAGAAGCGTGTAAAAAATGGTAAAAAGCGCGACTTGACGGGAAGTGAATTTCACATTTTTTCCGTTCATGTAATGTCCTTCGGTAAACAAGGATCGATTGAAAAGCAGCATGTTGATTGGCGTTGATAATCAACCTGGGAATGTCGTCGCAACTGGAAAATATCAAAACAAAAAATGTTGTCAACATATTTGATGATAAAGTTTCACCGACAATTATGTTGTAGCGATAGACAAAAAGTTATCTCCCCTTGACCTAACAAAAATTAATTATAAATATTCGCGAGAATTAAAAACAGTCACGTGACTTGACGAGATCCGCACGAGACATCGTTAGACGGTAAAGTCAGTCTCTCTTTTGCTCCTGGAAGTTAAGGTATCAAAACGCATGCATTACAGGCTCGTGATAAACCAAACAGACAAGTACAAAAATTCGTATTGTTTTTGGTACATAGTCTTTTAAAAGTAGATACATGCTAACTTTGTATTTAGAATTTCAAATATAAAATATACATATGCAAGTGTTTTTATACGAAGACTTTTGTGTTCTATTTGAACTTTTCATATATTTATGTTGTCCTATGTTTCATCCATTTTAAATGAGGTCGATAAATAGTATAAATGGAAGGAAAATATATCAAATTGATAGAGTTGTCTCTGACAAAATGTTATTCTCAAATACGCTTAGTATTACAAATATAATTGGTATTATTTTTTGGAACAAATAAAATGCATAATAGAATCATTCGCCGAACTACCTGGATTACGTATGAATCGGCTCGTATGACTAGGATCAGTGAAGTACCCGCGCGCTCTACCTAGGATCAGTAAAGTGTCTGTGCGCTTTACCTAGGATCACAATCGTATCTGTAAGCCCTACCTAGGATCAGTCTAGTATCTGTGCGCTATGTCTAGGATCAGTGAAGTATTTGTGTACTCTACCTATGATCAGTAAATATTTGTTCACTTTGTCTAGGATCAGCGAAATATCTGTGCGCTATACCAAGGATCAGTGAAGTATCTGTGTGCTTTGCCTAGGATCAATGAAATATCTACGCGCTCTACATAGGATCAGTATAGTAACTGTGAGCTTTGCCTAGGGTCACAATCGTATCTGTGCACTATACCTACGATCAGTATAGTATCTGTGCGCTTTGTCCTAGATCATTGAAGTATTTGTGCGCTTTGCCTTGGATCATAGTGTCACTTTTTGGCCCTCTACCTAGAATTAGAATGTAGTTTTGTGCGCACTGTAAAAATGGAAAGAGACACGCACACGCGCGGGAGCACAAACACACATACACACACACACACATAAATATATGCATATACATTGGCTTTTATATACACTACTGTTCAAAATTTTGAGGTCCCACCTCCCGGTAATATTTTAAATTGGCTCCAAAAGTAGTTGCTTTGTACTTTAAATAAGAGAACATTATTATACATGGTTAGAAATATTGAGACATAATTCTTTATTAGAAATTTTACTATGATAAAAAAAACATTTTATGATTAAATTTTTCTCTCGTCAAAATATCCTCCTTTAGCCTTGAATTTAAATTTTTGAAGATTTTAGTCATCAAGGAAGCAAGCGAGAGGAACGGAAGTGTGAGAAAAGAAACTGCTGGAGTAGAAGCGACGGTTACACTTAACTATTTCAACAGTAAATAGGTGGGACCTAGATGCCAATCTAGTACCACGTTTAAATTCATGTAGTCGTGGCACCAGGGAAAAAGCTTGTTAGAGCAGTAACCATGAAAATATTTCTAAAAAAGACAGAAGGAAGACGTCTGTGAGAAAGTGTCTGAAGTCGAGAAGTCATTTCAAGACCGATTACATTAGATTTTGTTTTTGTTGAGAACCTCAAGATGAAGTGCAGGGCACCAGACCAGATATAGCAACAATATTCAATGCAAGGACGAATATTAGATTGGTAGATGTGTAAAATGGGCTCTAACGAGAAATACCTTCTGGCACGACACAGTGAACCAACTTTCCTTGCAATAGATGCAGCTATTGATTCAATGTAGTTGTTCAACTTCGTCAGTTAAAAACGTGAGGGCAAGAAGGAGCAGTCAGACACTCTCACGGAGACGAGCATCAACCATGCTGATAATTGTATAGTTTGGAGAGAATTGGAGCCAAGTCCGGGGCACATATCTTTAGGACGACGCCTGGTATCCCGTCACCTCCACTTGCCTTATGAGAGTCTAATTTAGAATTATATCCGATTCTATTATATACATATAAATGGTATTTGTAAAATATTGTTATGTCTAGAGTTGTTGAAAAGTTATCACTCTACCGAATACTACATATATTCATAAATATATACACTAGAGCTATCAATCACTTAAGTTCTATTATATATATATATATATATATATATATATATATATATATGTGTGTGTGTGTGTGTGTGTGTGTGTGTGTGTGTGTGTGTGTGGTGGGTCGTTTGGGGAACTTGTGGCACGTAGTGGACCAGGTGTCTGTATTCGGCCCTTCAAAAAGTGTGGTTCTGCACACCATTATAATCAAATCACATGTGCTGGTGTCTGGTTGTTGGTTCCTAGGAACTGAGCTGCTTGACCCTCATACGTCGAATACGACGGGAGAGTCGAATAAATAAAATAGATCTCACCTTATAATATAACCTACTTAAAATATTTATATATATAATTCGCAATCAATATAACATTGATATTTTTTGAAAATACATAATTAAAATTATATTACTATATACTAATGTATATAAATATTTATGCGCATACTTATAGACATTTAACAGGTATTTGTGAAGAAAATATATATATACACACAGCATGTGTGAGATGTATATCTTTTGAGATAATATATAAGTATACCGATATATTTATTTGCATTAAAAATCTCTTTTAGAAATATATAAAATAGATCACTCTTATGTATTGGGAAATGGATTAAATCCGACAGATTTATTATTTATTTGCTTAAACAATATTTTTTAAATCGATACTCATATTTGAGTAGATTCCCTCTTTTTATATATTTATTAAAAAGTATATTTATTTATTTACATCTACCGGCCTGAATATTCGAGAAATCTTGTTAGAAAAATGTACGCCCTCCGGCAGGATTCGAACTTGCCTTCTAACATCTTTCATGGCAGATGTCAGCCAGTGCATAGCGAACAATGTAACTAAAATGTGATGGTGTCCCATCATGCATGAACCTCATGCGTCTTCGTATTAACATTGATGCACTCTGTATAGAAGGTGCGATGGATAAATTGTCGTCTAAATTACGCAAAAATTAAAATAACTCTGACATCTCGTTTTAACAGATATATTTACCAAAATTACGCAAAAATATATTGAAACACTAAAGAGTAAATTTATTCAATTAAATCGCCATTGCCTTCAACTACGGCCTCCAGACGACTTCAGAATACCCTGCAACTCTTTTGGACGGTTTTCCTGTTTAAGTTGATGAATGCTGACATAATTCTTGTTGATCTTTGGTGTGACAAGAAGTTATGTTTGCCCTCTCGCTCAACTGTGCCCAACAAATAATAATCAAGGGGGTTGCAGGGTAGGGAGTTAGGTGGCCAGATATAAGGGCTGATGTGGTAACAGAAATTGACCGACAGCCATGATTGGGGATTCCTGATTGAGTGGCCTAGAGCAGTGTACTGTTGCTAGACAGAGAGTCTTCCAGCAGCCACCCTCTTGACCCAGGTCAGCATTACCTCCTCAGAGCACGATGTAGGACCCGTGTTGAGTCTGAGACCTTCGCCAACAAATTCGGGAACTCTTTTCATGTCAGAACAATCAGAGTGAGTTTTCCGAGCTGCCTTACCTTTGTAATCACAATTAGACTCATCCAACTCTTTCCGAATCCTCTGCATTGTCCTCAGATTGACACTCAAACACCCTGAAATGTTTATATTGGACCTTCTGGCGCGAATAACAAGTAGTACAACATGTTATTTCCAAATTTGTGGTGGAGTGATTAGAAGGAAATAGTATATATATATATATATATATATATATATATATATATATATATCTGTCTGTCTCTCTCTCTCTCTCTCTCTATATATATATATATATATATATATATATATATATATGGACACTTGTATTAAATTCAATTCAATTTAAGTCTATCTGCTTAATCTTTTATTGTATTTTTTTAATTTTCGAATAAATTGTTTCATTGTTTTCAAATTGTTAAAGGCAACTATCGAAAGTTGATGTTTTTGTTCTGTTTTTGGTGGAATAATTCCGATCTTCTCAGTCATTATCAGGATCTAAATATCGTCAATATTCTAGACAAAGGCATTTTGTGATGTGTTACATTTCAAATTTAAATATACGACATTATTTACATTATTCGAACTATTGTCCTCATCTTTGTCGCCATATTTATTACAACGTATCGGTCGTTGTACGCTCCGGCCTTCTTTAGGTAGTTAGAATGTCGAACTGAACCCTTTATTTCGCTCACTGGGGTAGACAGTTCTAGTTCCACGTGCCATGTTTAATGGATGTCAGTTATGAGTTATCTCTTGTTAATTCCCCTCTCCAAGTTCTCCACTGCCTTAACCAGGTATTGAATTCACACTCTTTGGTCCTGTCACTGGATCTAACCAACGTCTTTATCCACTCTGCCATGTGTCCGAATAATGTAAATAATGTACATAATACATCATCTCAGAAATAAAGGCAGATATTAAATATACGATTATCGTATAAGTTATATAATGTGTAGAAAACTTTCACAGATGTTGATAACACCATAAAGTGAGTATATGAAATTTTATTCTTATTTCCAAAAAGAAATACTTTTTTCTCGATATTTAACTTTTGAACATATGCCATGTTTTGAATAAACTGGACACGGGGCACAAAATTATTCAAATGTGTCTCCAATAATAAAAACTAATCATGTGATGTGATGCGGGATTTGGCAGAAATGGTTTCATAAAAAATCTCCATTGGTATCTGCCATAAAGTAGATTGGCTTCCCGAAATCTTTACTACTGAGTTCGATTCTCATTCAATGGTGTTTACTGTTATAATCTTGCATTCGACTAAAAATTAGAAAATAATTCCGTTAGTCTTCAGTATTACATAAAAAATCTGAATATAATTTGAAGAGAATGAAATCTGCAGAATCGATCGTTCTTAGAGAAATGGCTGACATAACACGAGAATGTATTCAATCCAGATGAGGAAAGACGACCATTTTTTTTTTGAATTAAGATATTTAGAAGAAACCAATGAAAAACTAGAGTTTCCTGATCTATTATGTATATACGAAAAGGGTGCTGAAAAGTTCTCGGTCCAACTCAGAAAGGATTCCCAGCAAAATTCTGATGTTTGGTCATTTGGTCAGATTTGGGGGCGAAAATCTTTCAACACGCGTTCGTATGTAACTCTGTCTCTTTCTATCTCACCCTTCTTTCTTTCTATATATATATATATATATATATATATATATATATATATATATATATATATATATTCGTGTGAAGATTGAATAGAAGCGTGAAATTGACAGCCGCCATTTATCCTTATGTCCACACACAAGAACACGCGCCCTCGTGTCTCTCTCCTTTTCTCCCCCTCTCTCTCATATATATATAAATTTCGTTCAAAAGATAAAATGTCGATATATATATATATATATTTATATATATATATATATATGTGTGTGTGTGTGTATAGAGAGAGAGACAGAGAGAGAGGGAAAGGGCGAGAGAGAGGAGAGCGAAAGAGAGAGATATTTTGTACGATCTGGGATAAGACTAAAAATAATACCAGGAACATAGGGATGGGAAGATTGTGTTGCTGAAAATTTATATTTTGGTATAGGTATGCTTTGAAAGACAATTTTCAAGATCTGGCTTTGGATCTATATCAGTGGGACATACACTACCATTTCAATTACACTACACATATACACGCACACACGCACAGATACACACACACACACATATATATATATATATATATATATATATATATATATATAGATAGATAGATAGATAGATAGATAGATAGATAGAGAGAGAGAGAGAGAGAGAGAGCTTAGTCTACTTGATGAGCTTGCCTTATACGAAAAAAAAAGAAGAGATATTTTGGTGCGTTGTTATAAACTTATCTGTCTATAAATATTTAACGGTGTCTGCATCATAGTGTTATAGTAAATATGACAAAAAGGCTCTGTTCAAGTACCAAATAAAGAAAAACAAATTAAAAAAAGAATCCTAAAAAATAAAATAACAATAAAAGACATAAAAATGGATCTATTTATTCAATGGAATGGAAAGGACACATCTGTGGTTCTCACATATTGGATAATCTTCATTCATTAATTATACACTCATCAGCCTTAATCTTTTGTTGTTATAATCACTTCGGGTTGTAATGAGTATATTAATCAGAGTAAATCAATGCATCATCTTAATTCTTCGTCTAAAAATCCAAACAAAAATTATAATTGTCTCTCCCTCTTATAGTGGAATGTATGCGTATGTCTTAAGATGTAATAAGTATTAGTTTGATTAAAATGTCCTCGTTCCCATATGGGTTTATAAATGAGATCTTTACTTGGTTTATTGTCATTAATATTTATAAAATATTGTTTATTTTTTGCTTTTAATTTTTCCCATTACACAAATCTCGAGTTTGCAAAAGGAAAAAAAATATTTAACTTACATGAAGTTTTCTTTGAACTTTCCAAACTGTTTTTTCTTAATTGGTTGGAGTAAATTCTTCCAATTGGTTCCTGTTTTCGATCTTTAAAAAATTATCGCAGTTAATTCCTTCTTCAGCACCGATTATTTTTAAGACATCAACCACAAATGATGCTTTTATCGACAGAAAAACAGGCGATTTTGATTAAGAGGTGAAAAGAAATGACAGTTCTTAAGAGAAAGTACCAAATTTTCGGAATGATATAGAATATGAATTTCGATGAAGATTGAAAGAAAGTAAACGTTGTAATGGTGCAGTGGGCGGAAGGGAGAGAAGGAGAAGAAGAATAACACACACACACACACACAGAGAGAGAGAGAGAGAGAGAGAGAGAGAGAGAGAGAGTCGACAGAAATGGACAGCAATACAATTTCATTTCTTTCAAACGAATATTTGAGTTGAAAAGAAGATAACTCGTGAAAAGTTTGAAGATTTATGTGTGCGTGTGCGTGACAGAAAGAGATAGAGAATGAGTGAGTGATTGAGTGAAAGAGAGAGAGAGAGAGAGAGAGAGAGAGAGAGAGAGAGAGAGAGAGAGAAAAAATAGATAACGAAAGCCGAGACAAAGAGGAGGAGGAGTGGGTATGTGATAGCAGGGGAAGACCCGATTGGTCGTTGTCCACTTTTCAATCACAGCTCTGATTGAAGATAACTTTTACATCACATGATGTGCCTTCTTTATCTCTGCTATAATTGTGTTTTCATGCTTGGAAGGATTTTCTGATGGATTTGAGAATGTCCCCCAAAGTGTCAAGTGTTCTACGGAAGCCCGAAAGAGACACTATTCATCGACTTAATGACGGCAAAAACTTTCAAATCAATAACTTGACGTCTTTTCTATTAATTTGAATAGAATACACCAACTGAAATAGATTTTTCTGCGAAACAAAAAAGCCACTTTTCTTCTAATAGTTTCATTAAGCAAATGAGATTTTTAAAAATTAAGGTTAAAGAAATTTAGGCTTAGGTATTTTTTCTGTTAAGTCGATTATCATTTGAGAGATTCGTTTTTCACACATGAATTTAGATTCATTGCTAAATAAGGCCAATGTTCTATTGTAAGAAGGAGAACATTAACATTTCAGCTCCAAATTTATTAACAGATTAAATCCCTTCTATGGAGAGTAGAAATAATTGGGGAACTCAGCCGAAGCCGGCACCATGATGCCCGTCTTATCAGAAATTCCAGTTGATGGGACGGTGAGCTTTAAAAGTGAGAATTCTGTTTAACATTTGTTGTAAAATCTTCCAGGAGGAAAAAATATTGTTATCTATCAATCAGTCACTACTGTTAAGGGCGACAGGTAAACCAACGAAAATATGGCGATTAATTCAACAAAGCCAAAGGTTTTTATTCATTTTCAATATTTATTATTTAACCTCAAGACATACACCAAAGAATGTCCTTTTTTATTCATTTCGGAGAAAGCAATAGAAATGATTGATCGTTTTAATTCATTTATCACTCAATGTATCATTAAACAATTTTCTCTTATGTAGCAATTTATTTTAACCAAATCTGAATTTGTTGTAATTATTTCGTAGATTTGTGACGAGCAGTTAAGAATCCGTAGGGAACACATAACCAAATACATAAGATTAAAGGATTAAAAAACAGATTTATTGAGATAGCAGTAGTACTGTTTATTTCTGTTGCTAGTGATATTTAAATATGTTTAATTTACCAAAACATATCGAGGTCTTGGTAAGTTACTCGCGTCAGATTAAATTCACTAGGAAAGTAGCCTGGCGTGCAGGGTGACGTTAAGTTTATTGATGCGCTTCAAATGATCAGAAGGAAAATGAAAAAGGAAATAAGCATTATTATATGTGTGTTGGTGAATCAGATGTAATCGTTTAATGAGAAGAAAAAGAAGCAGAGGAATTTGGGTTAAAATCCAGTTTTGTGTCGGATGGTGGGGTTCAAAACTCGACTCGGTAAAGTGGAAAAATTCTTGGATATTAAGTCAAATTTCTTCATGAAGAATTTTGATCAGTGAGAGTAGGAATTTTGTTGGAAACTTGTTTTATTTTGGGGAGTGTTTTAAATCATCATCATCGTTTGTCATTGATGTCTTTATAAATCAGGGTTACATTTTTGTATAATAAAAGAATGTCAATTATTATCAGGTTCGACTTGTAGTTAAGCTGAAAATGATCTTAAACTGAACTGATTTGCTGGAACTTTTTTAGATTTATTTTTTTAAAAGTATTTTGTATGTTTTAAATGTGAATTTAAAATGAAAGCAGAAAAATGATCAACGTTTTCCAATAGAATTGTCTTTCAGAGAATCTTCAAAATGATTTACAAAAACAGAATTAGGACTGAAGAAATATTCAAAAGAAGCAAATACAGAGTTCTTACAGATGTATGAAGACAAATCTAGTACATGATACCTAATGGCAATGTTTTTGTGGCAAATGGTTGGAATATATATATATATATATATATATATATATATATATATATATATATATATATATATATATATATAGGTACCTACACTCTTAATTCGGTATGCGTAAGGTTTAAAATGAATTTTTAAAATGAAAAAAACTTTCTTGAAAATTTCATTTTAGCTTTAATTGAAAGCTAAAGGATTCAAAATTTACTACTTCCAGTAAACAAAATACTCTGTGGTGTATTTCAAACAGAAACTATATTGATAGGAATCGATTTTTTTTTCAGTAAAATCGATAAAAATCGACCATTTTGACATATTTGTAAACAAAAGTTAATTATCTGTTTTAAAAATCTACCTAAAATAAAATATATATTTCTGAAGCGATATTTGAGGAAAATTAGCAAATTTAAAGTTAAATTAATCTGATTTTAATCAAAATATTACTTTTAGCGTAAAATGTTGTATACAAGCATTTATTAACCACGGGGTCTTATTTATCTGACGTGTTAATCGATTTATTGACAGCCGTTTGACTGCCGAACGTTTTCATAGTTAAGTATGGTGGAGCAGACAATAAAGTTTGAGGTGTGTTTTTGCCGCAAGGGGTGGGGACAACCCTTAAAACACGCGACCTTTTAATGATAACGTTATAGGTTTGGACATCCATACTTCAGAAATTTCTGCACGTGATCACACATAGAAAAACTAATCGAAATTCTTTTAAAATATTCCAGTTAGTCAGATTTCTGAAGCTTTACAATACACGATTAGTAAATATAGTTTTATTTAATAACAATATTTTCTAATAGTTATCTCATTGAAAATTAATTTAAAAAAATTCAAATCCTTTATAAATTATTCAATTTAAAATTGTAAAAAATGGAAACAAATCTCGTAAAAATTCATTTTTCATTGAAAAAATTGTTTTTCTTCAGAAAATATTGTCTTTAATATATATATCATTCATAAAAGCAATTAAATTTTTTTCTAATTAAATAATGTTTTAATTTTGTTGCTTTTTATATTTTTTAATTCACTACAGAGTTTCGGTAAGACGGGATCCGATTTTGAAAAAAAGAAATCGGTGATATAAATTCTTGAAAGAATTCTGTTTTTAGCTAATATACTCACTAAAGATTATCATGTTGACTTTCTCAAGTTTTATAACATTAATTAAGTGGGGAGGGTAACACACACACACACACACACATATATATATATATATATATATATATATATATATATATATATATATAAATAATTTTTAGTATGATTTTCTAAAAAATAATTAAAAAATAATTTAATTCATTTGTGAATAAGTCCTGAAAATTTCATTAATATCAGACAATTATTTGATTTTTCCAAGAATTTCCAAATGAATGTATCTTTCACCACAAAAAAGACACTAGAATTTGCTATGCTAATTTATTGTACATCCGCTGACGCAAGAAAACCAGAATTTTAATCAAAATTTCGAATGTTCTAAAAAGGATTAAATAATTGAATTAAATATTCAAAAATAGTTTGATCTTTGCTCTTAATAATAACAAAGATTTTGACGATGAAACTGTTTTCATTAAGTTTTGAGCATTTTTTCATCACAGTATCATTCTTTTTAGCTATTTTGTGGAGGTACCTAATGTTTTTTATGTTATTATTTTACATGATCTAGGATTAACAAAGGTTTTTTTTTGAAAAAAAATATATCGGCTGCAATAAAAAGAAAATATCAGTTTTGTTTAATTATTTTCTGTATTTAGGATTCCAAAACGTTTCTTTAATGAATCCTCATTCAAAAGTAAGTGAATACATATTGTATTTATGAGGTAAACCGTTACTAATATAAATGCAGTAGTTATTCACGATATGATCACTAATAATAATAATAATAATAATAATAATAATATATATATATATATATATATATAACAAGTATATAATTGGTATATACGGAATGAATTCCAATAACCAACAATTACTATTCTTAAAAGAGTGCTCAATACAAAGTAGAGCAGATATAATTATTTTTTATAAAAAAAATTATAACATAAGTATGTTATAAAATCACTACAAAAGTAGCCATTTTGTTTCAACATGTGTCTTATCAAGTGATGATGTTGAAAATAAAATAAATGGTTTTAAAAGTTTCAGATTAATTAACAATCCTACACTAGGGGGAAACATTGTTACAAAAGCTAGAACAACCAATCAAAAACCAAGTATTGAAAGATTCAAAAGCTTGACAACGAAATCATGTTAATAGCTATTCAGATCTTTAAAATACGTGTAATATTAAAAATAATTTATACTAACCAATAATTATAAAATTATATGATAAAATTTAATATTAAAATTAAAAACTGGCAATGTTAAAATCCAAATTTAATCACTATTAAGTTTAAAAACTACAAAATTATTGAGAAAAGAAAAAATATATGTTTTTTCAATTCATTTCTTCATTGAAATTACGTTCGACAAGAAGACGCTACAATATATCCGGTCATTTGACAATACATGTATATATATTTTTTTCTTTTCCCTTTCTTTTCCTTTTTTATTTTAAAGTGTGTGAATGTGGTCTTAAACTCACGCGCAAAACAACAAAAACACAATCAGATTATAATACATAAGCACCCAGACATAATTAGATACACACACGCACACACACACACACACACACACGCACACACACATACATACACAAAAAAGGGGGGGGGCGAGACATGAACATCTCTACAGCCCTTTATGAAAAAAGGAGACGTGGAAACCAACACTTATACACACACACAGTTAATTGTGAATACACTCTACATACACATAGACACCGATAGAATAATCTTTCTAGATCTTCTTTTCTTATTATGGTTGCAATTAACAGGGTTTTTATATTGAATAGTGGTATTTTTGTATCCACTATTTTTTAGTGCAGAATTGTAAAAATCACTATGTTTATTGAAAACCTCCTTATTATAAGAGTTAGCGCTAATTCTAAATTCAATGGAAGAGGGTATATGTTTGATAACTGAAGGGGGATGGTTGGAATTAGGATGCACGTATAATGGGTTGGAATTAACCTTCACATATGGTTGGAAAATGTTGTTAGCAAGATCTAGGGTGACATCTAGAAAATCCACTTGTCTAACATTAGTAGTAACTATTGTCCTAAGACCTAAATCCTTAAATACCCTATAGATCATTTTCCTAATACGGTCTACCTTAATTTTAGTCGAGTTTTTAACTAATAATCCATCATCTCTATACAATCCTATACTATCTGAATCTAGACAATCGAAGGCACTTAAATTATATAAAATGTATATGTGTGTATATGTGTATATGTATGTATATATGTATGTATATATGTAAATATATATATGTATGTATATATATATATGTGTATATATATATATATGTATGTGTGTATGTGTGTATATGTATGTGTGTGTATGTGTATATATATAAATATGTATATGTGTATGTATGATAACATTACGGCGGTATAATGGTTGGCAGCATGGTTTGCTAGATCAATTGCGACTGAGTTCATTCCTCACTGGGTGCCCCCAAATTTCGGCTTTGTGCCACGATATATTTGTATATATATGTATGTGTGTGTATGTGTGTATGTATGTGTGTATATATATATCTGTGTGTATATATGTATATATCTGTATGTGTCCTATTTTATTGTGTTTGTATATTTATATTTAAGTATATTTCTGTTTGTATGAATGTGTTTATATATTTGTATGTTAGGCTATATGTATATTGCTGTGTGTTAGTATTTGAATGTATATTTATGTATCTAAATGTTAGTACGTTTATATATGTATTTGGTTGAGTGTTGTTGTATTTTTATGTATGCATGTATATATTGGTAGTTGTTATTGTAGATAGATATATTTATATATGTTTATTTGTAGATATGTATGTATGTGTATATATATTTATGTATGTTTGTGTATGTATATATGTGTGTGTTGGCACCTATTATGTATGAGTTTGTTTGTGTGTATGTGTGGGTATGGAAACTTTGGTATATAATGACTGTTTTTATATATGTAAGTATGTGTGCATAAAAATCTGTGTATATATGTGTGTATTTAGGTTTATATGTATATGTGTGTGCATGTGTACTTGTTATCATAGACATGTATATGTGCGTATATGTTTATGTTTATATATTTATTTGTATGTATTTCTGTATGTATATGTATGTATGAGTGCATGTTTATGTGTGTTAATTTGTGTTTGCTGCCGCGTATAAATATATATATATGTATCTGTGGGTTTCTTTATCCTGTTTTTCTTTGCATAATATATAATGAAACTATTATCAAATTATATGATTAATATATATTTTTATTGATATTTATGGTTTTGGAATTTTCGTTTTAATATATTAAATAATATTATTTTTAACCATTTTTATCTTTGTATATTTGCTCCCAATAATTTATAATTTAATAAGTGGTTAGCATTTATTTAATGATACTTTAAGTCTGAAATATTTATTGGTTGTGATATCTGATTGTCTATGTCATTGTCTGCGGATGTATGTATGTGTATCTATCGGTGTCTATGTGTATGTAGAGTGTATTCACATTTAACTGTGTGTGTGTATAAGTGTTGGTTTCCACGTCTCCTTTTTTCATAAAGGGCTGTAGAGATGTTCATGTCTCGCCCCCCCCTTTTTTGTGTATGTATGTGTGTGTGCGTGTGTGTGTGTGTGTGTGTGTGTGTGTGTGTGTGTGTGTATCTAATTATGTCTGGGTGCTTATGTATTATAATCTGATTGTGTTTTTGCTGTTTTGCGCGTGAGTTTAAGACCACATTCACACACTTTAAAATAAAAAAGGAAAAGAAAGGGAAAAGAAAAAAATATATATACATGTATTGTCAAATGACCGGATATATTGTAGCGTCTTCTTGTCGAACGTAATTTCAATGAAGAAATGAATTGAATAAACATATATATTTTTTCTTTTCTCAATAATTTTGTAGTTTTAAACTTAATAGTGATTAAATTTGGATTTTAAAATTGCCAGTTTTTAATTTTAATATTAAATTTTATCATATAATTTTATAATTATTGGTTAGTATAAATTATTTTTAATATTACACGTATTTAAAAAGATCTGAATAGCTATTATAACATGATTTCGTTATCAAGCTTTTGAATCTTTCAATACTTGGTTTTTGATTGGTTGTTATAGCTTTTTGTAACAATGTTTCCCCTAGTGTAGGATCGTTAATTAATCTGAAACTTTTAAAACCATTTATTTTATTTTCAACATCATCACTTGATAAGACACAGAGTGTGTTGAAACAAAATGGCTATTTTTGTAGTGATTTTTATAACATACTTATGTTATAATTTTTTTTTTATAAAAATAATTATATATATATATATATATATATATATATATATATATATATATATATATATATATATATATATATATATATATATATATATATATATATATATATATATATATAAAAAATATTATTAGATAATTATTAAAATTATCATAAAAATGATTAATAATTATCGAAAATTTAAATATAAAAAAGTTCTACTTTCTAGAGCAGCATTATGTCCAAACCAAAAAGATGACCCCCCAAAAAAAGACGATGCCGTCTGTATTCCGAAATTCCGCCGTAAGATTGTAAGTTCTATTTTCACCGAGTGGGTAGGTGGAGTTTGTGTTGTCAAAGTTGCAAGTTGTATCTTTTTTTATACAAAATTTCAGATCAAAGTGCAAAAGGCAGACAGCGCAGAAGAGGACTAATGTCGCGGTTAATCAGTTGTTAAAAAGAAATTCACGGATTTGAACCCTCCCCCGAATGATATCAAAATTCGAGAAAAATTTTCATCTTTTAATAGTCAGTTGTGCTTAATTTAATTTGTAACGTACGCTACACTAACAAATATACAGCTAAAGTTTTACGCCCCCACCTCCCTCATTGGCACGTCAGACCATTTCCTAGTCAATGTCCAAATTGATTCCAAACCAATGACATCTCCTGATTTACAGCTCCATAGAACGTTTTTTCGCAATGCGATGGCAGACTGGGACAGCTTTTGACCCTTTATGGCGGAAGCTCCTCTCCCAACCTTCTTCAAACATGCTGCCCTCAAAACTGCTGCCGTAATCTCCGAATGGATCCTTTCTGGAATAGAGTATTTTATACACCCCCCCAAAATCCAGCAAAAGCCAAACATTCAGCCCTGGTTTACCCCTGAATACGCCGTAACCATAGCTCACCAAAACTACTACTTCAAAATTTATCACAAAGAGCGATGTAGTCTGGCCCTTACTACTTTCAGAACCGCCTACAATTGTTGTAAGAGAGTCCGGGAAAACGCAAAGTGCAGCTACGCGCTATCTGTCCAGGCCAAGGTTGAAAAGAAACAAATTGAATTTCTTATTCTCCTCGATAGACATGCGATGCTCTTTGCCTCGATCTTTGCCTCAAACTCAACGTTAGATGACAAAGGCCACTCCCTCCATAACTTCCCACGTCTCACTGAGCACAATCTCAGTAATATACTCATTTCAGCAAGAGAATTCTCTAGACTTATCAGCCTCGACCGCAAAAAAACTCACTGGTTCAGATAAAATTCCAGTTTAAGAATATCAATCCAGAATTATCCCCGATTCTAGCAAAGCTATTTAATCGTTGCTTGGGTGAGAAATCATTCCCAAGCCTGTGGAAGGTGGCAAACGCTTGCCCGGACTTCAAGAACGGGGACGACTGATCACCCCCTCCGAGTATAGACCCATTAGTTTCCTATTTGTAAGCTTTTAGAGACCATAATCAACAAGAAGGTTGTCGAACTTCTAGATAGGAACAAACTTTTGTGCGACGAGCAGTATGGCTTTTGATCAACCCGATCCACTTCTGACGTTCTAACTACCATTATACACAGAATTAGTGAGGTTCTTAACGACACACACACCGCAATGACCACAGCAATAGATATCTCGAAGGCCTTCGACAAGGTGTGGTTACATTACATCACCACTGATCAGACCCCAAACTACCGCCAGTCACGATGAACAGATGTCCCTTCGAGCGACATTGGGCCTCGAACTCATGCCAGACCTCAAGTGAAATTCCTATATATGATCCATTGCTAAAGATGCATGTAAAATAATCGGCTCCCTGTACCCCATCCAGTAAGTGCCTGACTCCTAATGCTATCCTCTACTTTTATAAGAACCAGATCTGGCCTAAAATGGATCCCTGTTGTCATATTTAGGCGTGAGCTACCTGGTCCTCACTTTCCAGTCTTGACAGAGTTCAAAAGCGTCTCAGAGTCCTTGTAGATGACAAATTATTTTCCATCCTCCAACTTCTCTCTCGCGGGCGGAATGTAATGAGTCTCTCACTGTTCTATTGCTACTTGCACGAAAAGTGTTCGAACGAACAGCATTTCTTGGTTCCACCAGGACTAACCTTAACGCCTAGGACCCGCCATGCCACTTGCATAGTATCAAACCATCCACATTTCCGCCGTATTCCGTAGGCGAGAAGTAAATTTCACTCAAACAGCTTCTTCCCGCGAACCACTGCACTGTGGATCAGGCTCCCAAGGAGATGTTTCCCCGATCATTACAATCCTAATCTGTACATGTCTAGAGTAATTTCAGGTCCAGCATACCAGCCCGTACCGGCCCGGATTGGACTTATAAAATCCGTACCGTATATCCCATTCCTTCCGGTTGGGGTCGGCCTCCTCTTTCGCGTCCTTACGGGGTTTTATGTTCATTATCCTATTCCTGGAGCCCTTCTCTGCACTTTTCCAACCCCTGGGTCTTTGGGTTCCCTGGTCGCTGCCATTTCTTACCCTCTCCCAGATCATCTCGTTATTTTTAGCTAACTCTAGGGCCTCTGTCAGCCTACAGGGCCCACCCTTCAGGACGTCACCCCTTACATCAATATCAACGGATGGCGTCCATGAAAGCGTCTGCTAACAACGCCTGAATCGATCCATTTTCTCTTATTTCCGGATTTGGGAATTCTAACCCCGTTAATCCCGTCATCATATCTCCTAGGTTTTCTAGAGTTTCCCCCACTTCCTGTTCAATCCTAAACAATTTTCAAACCGCCTTTATGGTTGTTCGCTCGCTAGCATATCTTCTGATTAGGGTTCCCTTTAGCTCGTCCCATGTTATCTGGGGTTTTTTCCCTGTATAAGCTCTCGATAAATTTTGAGACTGGTCCCGCTGCTCCCTTACTGGCTGTTTTCATGTACCACAATTGAGCGAAAAAAAAAAAAACAAACAAAAAAAAAAAACAATAATTGAGGAAAACCAAAAAGTAACCTACCTGGGGTGTGCTTCTGCTGCTGTTTTTTCGTTCCTGTAACTATCGGCTCTTCGGATCAATATAATCTTTCGATTCCAATGTCTTCTAGTTAATTCTTGGGTTTAATCTTTAGTCGCTGCGTCAATTGTAACTCCTTTCCTTTAATGTCTACCGGTATCTCCTGGGTCGAATCCTGGTAATAAGCTTCGAATTGGTTATTTATGTCTATTTATTATTTTATTAATTGATAAATTTATTTATTTGTTTTATATATATTTTTTCTTTCGTGTGTTTCCTTTGTTTCTATATTTTGGTCTTAGGAATAAAGTTTATTAGAAATATCTTATGTTATTTTATTTAGTCTTTTTCATTATGACGTGGTTTCAAGTAGCGCAGACGGAATCTGTTTTCGTGTTTGCATTTTGAATGAGTTCTAATTCTATGAACACAAATTCATTATTTTTATAGTTTCGTCATTTCAGTAAATTTCTTAGAGAATGGATGGCAGATTTCTTTAAAAAATATATATTTTTTAATTTACAAATCCTATTCTATACAGAAACTTGCTATTCAACTTAAGTTCAGCTTTAACCTTCCCAGATGTAAATGGAAAGCAATGTACTAATGGACAAATTACAGGCGAATTAAATTCAGATTTTTTATTTGGTAGGGAGAAAAAAGATGGTAGATCTTATCTAATATTCAATGTGAATAAACGATGCTCTTGTTGGGTTCCTATTTTATAACGGCTCTCAAGTATATAAAATAACGAGATACTAAAGGGAAATGAAAAGAAAGGTATCAAAATACCTTTACCATTTTTTATTAAGTGTAACAATGCAAAGCAACAGTACAAGTTGGCATTAACACAATACTTACAATATGTGAGTTTTGCACTCTAAAAGATTAAGGTGAGGTCGTTATCAACCATCTTGGAATATCTTTGTTTCCCATTGGTGTTAGACTGGACGTTGATCGCAGTACGTCTTGCTCCAATCCCTTGTCGTGATTGGACTAATTTTCTAACTGTGCCTTGGTTAATCAACTGTGCAAAAGGCCTAACTCACCTCAGTTATCTGTTCTCCAGGCTAGAGGTTTTATCTAAACACTACACTGGTCATTGTAACAAGGCATTTCAAGGATTTTTCGTAGTATAATAGTAAAAGTCAGTATAAAAAACATTTTTTAATTAGAGACAAAGAACTATATTCATTGCTAATTTTCTCAGGTCCCTAAAATGCCGAGGCTCCGTATAACATCAACTGCATTTAGCTATAGAACTGTGTTAGATTTTCGCAATAAAACTTTTATCGTTTAAAAAATTGATGATGGCTATTCATTATTTGACAATCAAATGAAATATATTAACAATAAAAACGGCCACTATTTTAGACCGTAGCGAATGACTGTTTGTCTGGAAGCACAATTTTGTCTCAGATGTTTTGACGCTTCAGCAACGAACATTTCTCTCCATTATTTCAGTCTTCCTTCTTCAGTGCTAGATTCCCGATGAGCTAAAACAAGATTCTGAAATTACAATATCTTTATTGATGGAAAAGCGTGTATGAAGACAACTACAATCATAAGAATTAGTTTATTTATAAGAAATGCTGAGAGCCGATCGTATTGGCACCAGTGAATCAATAATAAATCATCATTATGCTTTGTCCGTAGCACCAATAATTGCTTGGCAGGGGTTAGGGTAATTGCTTCTAGAAATATGAGATCTCTATTCAAGTAGGTAAACTATTAGATCACCTAATATCGCTATTAAATAGAAATTCTACAGCTTCGCGCTGTAAAATAAAAACAAATTGTGTCAGTTATAAAAATATAATTAAAACCCACATAATCCAGAAAGGATTGGAACCATATTGTAATGATTAAAGACATAGATTAGGCAGAGTGGAAATAAAGGTGTTGCAACAATGGTTTTAAGGCGCAGCACAAGAAATCAGAACTAACCGTTTTCGGATTCCGGTCAAAATCGTTAATATTCGCTTTCTCATAAATACCTTTGGAAAAGACACGAATCCATATCTTATCCCTTCATGTATGGATTAAACGGTAGGACAGACTGGACTCTTTGGTTATGGTTGGTGAGCATTATAGAGGGAAAATCTCTGAATTAAAAATTGTATGTGACTGGTGGGGAACATAGTTAAACTCTAACCCTGCTCGCTCAGCATTGTTACAGTATAAACCACAGAGGTTCGCTCTGTGTGTGTTGAAGAAACACAAGTTTAGCCTGAACAGATGTCTATACTCGGAAAGGAGCAGCCATTCTGAAGATGAGAACGCACCCTGATTTGTAGAACTCCTTCAAATCGAAACACAGCTCTGATGGGCTAAATTTATTTTTTACGCTAACAAGGTAAGAGGGGGTAAGCCTCGATACAGATATCCTAAGAAGCGAATTAACCTTCATATGTTATCCAGTTACCAAACACCAAAACCTGTTATCAGTGATGAGGAAAACTAATTGGGTAGGCTGAACTGCATTAGATCCAACAGACCCACCATTTCTAAAATTTGTCACGCGGGTAGGAGCTACCAAAATAAAATTTCTTATTGACACTTCTGCTAGTATTTCTATATTAACAATTTGTCTAGTGAACGGAATTATTTTAAAGCCAACCCCTGTATCAATCTCAACCGTCAATGGTGAGAAATTAACATGTCAAGGACAAGCGAAACTGGAGTTTTTTTTTCTAATGGTCTTTCGTAATCCTTTATTGGGCTTTGCTCGTTGATCTAACCATAGGCTATCAAAATAGAATTCTAAAAGACTATATTGCAGAAAGAAAGATATAAATACATCTTCGATAATGTCAATTGTTAATGACATTACTTTTTTTTTTGCTGTTTGTTAGTGAATGACGAAAATTCCCAAGGGTTACGTCAAGACATGAAAACACTACTGGAAAATTCCGTGGAGTTTATCACAGGATATTTAAAGGAAGCAATCTTCCAGTTTTTGGCAACGGTAGAGAAACTTTTGCAAAAATAATCTAAAACATCACGAATAGAATGAAAAAGTTCAGAAATCCGGATTGATATCTCTTAGTAAAGGCAATGGGAAACCATTCCCCCATCTTTTTCAAGTAAGCATGGCAATTCACAGATAATAAAAGAAAAAGAATTTATGAAGAGTCATGATTGCTAACGTCTTGAAGGGACATAGCATTGAAAAAAAATCTTTCTGAAATTGAATGAACAAGTCTCTCCATCTAGTTTCAAATTCTAACGGTAATTTCTGATGTTTATGTGATTATCAAAATCGGAGTTCTGTTACATGATCGACATCTGTTTTATATTTTTAGTTGGGTTCATTCTTTTAGGGCTTTCACACTCACGACACGGGAACACGTCTGATGGTTTTATTTATTATCAAGTCAGTAATATAACAGTAATAAAATAAGTGCACACAACTCATGATAGCCGAATGTAACAAGGATCAGTAATGGCCTACCATTACCGCTTAAAACACATCACCATTCCTGGGAATATTTATTAGTCTGTATCTTTTTTTCTTTGTAATTTAATCCTATTGTTATTTATTTATTTTATTTTATTTTGTTTTCGTCTTTTTAATGTTCCTGGTGGAAAAGGGGTACTTACCCATAAAACTTATAAATAGTTTTTAGTCTTTCTTTTCTTTTTTTATTAATGTAACATGGTCACTTAGGTGTTTTGGTCTATGGACGACACTTGTCTGGGGTATTCTTAGATTATTTGTATCGTTTGTATTGGAATCTTTTTTGTTAGGATTCTTATTTCTGTTTCTTTCGTGACTATTGTGATGATCATTATCACACACATACATACATACTTACACAAATTCAAATTATACAACAACAAGCCTTCATTGGATAATAAATCAACACTACTGTGTAATGGAAAATTTATAAATCGCAGCTATGCGACAATTTTATAATCGCTATATTTTCATGTAGTCGATTTCGTACACTTTTGGAAGAATCGGATCCCAGAAGATTTCGTGAGTCTCCCCAAAGCTCGCTCACTGATTGGTGAATGCTAACCAATCAGATTGTCTGCACATGAAGAATGATTCTTCCCGGACAGCGCTACGGACCCGATGGTCACCTATAAAAGCAAGAAATATTCTTAGATAATTAGTGAGATTTCAGCTGCCAAACGAATCCACGGCAGTTCAAACCATGCGCCAATCTTCTCACTCACACCACCACTCACATGCTGAATATTCCCTACACTCACATAAACTTTTTCCTTACACAGAAAAACTCTTGAAAACATTTATTACCAGAAACTTCACAACCTTCTTTCTTTCGGTGAAGTTTGGAACACAATTAATAGTTAAAGAGAAACAAATCTTGTTTTAATCAATGCATGCCTTTCTTTCACATCCTTGTTTGTAAATCTTGTTAAATACAAATTTTATGTGTAATGATGTCTTTGGCTTACCATTTTTTCTTCACGTCAGTTTGGTTTCCTAATTTAAGTTAAATTAATGAAGTCCGCCACTCTATTATGAAATTGAAATTCTGTTGGTGGGAGTGTGCTTTCCATTTA